TGTCCTCAACATAAAAAGGACATAGAGCTGTTAACAGGAGCAAGTCCAGAGGAGGCCACAAGGATGATCAGAGGGCTGGAGCACCTCCCGTATGAAGACAGCCTGAGAAAGTTGGAGCTGTTCAGCCTGGAGAAGAAAAGGCTGCATGAAGACCTCATAGCAGCCTTCCAGTATCTGAAGGGGGCCTATAAGGATGCTGGAGAGGGACTCTTCACCAGGGACTGCAGTGATAGGACAAGAAGTAACGGGTCAAACTAAAACAGGGGAAGGTCAGGTTAGATATAAGGAAGAAGTTCCTCCCTGTGAAGGTAGTGAGGCGCTGGAACAGGCTGCCCAGAGAGGTGGAAAAAGGATAGAAGTGACTGCCTCTTCCTCATTTCCAAGAAAGGTAATTTATTGTTCTTGCAACAAGGAAAGGAGACAATGCATTCCATTTCCAAGTGCCTTTTATCTGTATACCAAAGGCATTCATGATATTTCACACACTGATGCAAGAGAATTTACCAGCTGCAGTACAGCTGCCAAGATTCTCAAGTATGTATCATTATAAACCCTTAAAACCATTGTGGAAACTGGAAGAAGTCCTGCTATAAAACTAATTTTAGCAGAATAGCTCAACAGATTCATTTGACTTCATCTTGTCCTATCAAAACCCTATGTTAATTTAAATGCTCCACAGAATTTCAGTTTGCAGCACAGTCCTCTGTTTCCTCAGTAGAGCTTACTATCTGCAATCTTGAGGAAGCTGCTGGATAAAATAAAGGCCCTCGCACGTGTCCTTCACTCAGTATCCCATAAGACTGCTTATACTTATACTGCATGGGTAATTGAACCAGCAGAATAATTTGGGCACAGGTCTTTATATGAAGTCTCAAATGGCTTTGGTTTGTGTCTGTCTTCCAGCTTTTTTAGCCTGATGTTATGTTCCTCTGTGCTGTTAAACCTGTTGTTCAGCAGAAACAAGACGTAATCCCAAGACAAAGATGACTTCAACTGTTTATGACAGCTACCATCCACAGATCTTATTTCACTTCCTTAACTTTAAACACCACCTTTAGAAAATTGCTTCACTCAGAATGACACAAAGGCAGCTGGAGACAAATGAATCAATTCTGACACATTTCATGACCTTTAGGAGCATAACATCATTTATTAAGTTGTTTTAAACAAAGAAAGTATTCTGGCTAAACACTGGTTCTAAGAGCATTCTGTACAGAACACTACATCTCCCAGGTCACTGCAAAATAGATGAGATACTGTCAGAAAACATACCTCAGATCTAATGCACAGGATGACCAAGTTCACGAATGCAGATCTTTATCATGATTCAGCCCATAGCCTGACTACTTAACTACCTTTGGCAGAAGCCAGAAGTCAAAAAAAACACATTACAACTACAAAAAGGAAATTATGAAACTAGCTACAGAAGATCACAAATGAACACCAAGCCATGCTGATAAGCCTTATTCTTCTTGTACTGAACTTCCCCCCCCCCAACACCACCACACTTTGAAATACCTTTAGGTCACCAGCCTCAGGTTTTTCAGTCTCTGAATCGTCATCTTCCTACAAGACAAGAATTTACAGGATTAAGCTTAAAGAGCAGGCTTTGCAAGTAACTGCACTTACAGCAAAGGGCTGGCATTCAGCAGCCCAGCAGCTGTCCAAGACCCTTTCCACAGAAGGCAGTCTTACCCCACCCACTCATGACCAGAAAACATGTCCTACAGTCAAGGAAAGAAGTGTTTGTTTGGGTTGTGGGCTGGTTTTTGTTTGGTTTTTTTTAGGCAAAAGCATCAGTAACAGGTGTCCCCTGCAAAACTCATGCTGCTCCTGAATGCTCAGAGCTAGACAGTAAGAAGCAACAGAACTGTTGAAAAACATATCTGATTATCTGATAATGCTGTCTCTTCTGCTTGTCCCCACCATTTAGTAGTACTTACAGATAAAACAGCATTTGCAAGACCTATTATACTCCCAAGCACACAGCAGCAAGACACACAGGACACAGCAGGCCTGCCACTCCAAACACGCAGGCTTGGCAAGGGTCTGGCATAGCACCACGTTCCAAGGATTGGGTGCTGCCAGCAGACAACACATCTTTGGCTTTTGTATAGTGCCCTTGTAGCCTCCTTTGCAGATGATGTGAGCTCGCACAGAAGGGAACCACTGACAAACATTATTGGTTTCGGGTAACAGACCTCAATTTTTATTTCTACCAAGAAATTTCTGCCCTGTGAGAGCTTGAAATACTGAATGCAGCCTTGTGTCAAATTCTACACCACATGAGAAGCATGCTCCAGCTTTGGTCCCACATATTAGCTAAGCCTACTGTTCCACTACCCTAGGAGCTACTTCACTGGGAAACCTAGAGCTACCTGTGTTTCTAGGAATACATACTCTGGGTTCAAAACAAGTCTGAGGAACAGAAAACATTTTTCATGCCCACACAACTCAGCAGAACAGTTTTTCTTCCAAACTTTGCCACAGATTTCAACTTTGTCTCCAAAACAAGAACTTGGTATTACAGCTTTTTTTCCTACCCCCCCCCCCCCTTGTTGAAGAATGTGATGATTACATGCAACTGAAAGGAGCAGTTTACAATGAAATGTGCTCACGTGACCACGAGCAAGTTCTGCCAAGGCAAGCTACAGATTAACCACACAATAATGCCGGTAAGTTTTAATTGCCCTAATTAACATGCCTATCTCACTGAGACAAACTCCTTCACTTCAGCTACTATCCAGCTTACCTTTCTGAAAGATGCACTTACGCCAATAATTTAGACTTAACTGTCAAAGTTTAATAACAATAAGCTTATAATTAGAAAAGAACCACAGTATCAAGTAACTTGGTGCTTATCAGAAATGAGCTTTCCCTCCCCTCCACAGTCCCACCTATATTATAAACATAAAAGTCATTTTCAACAAAGCAACAATAGGTCAAACCATACATGTTATAGACAGGTAACTAAACCAGCTCCCCAGGCCTCCTAACCTAGCAGGGATATCACTGAAACAACTATCAACAAAGAGACATTGCTGAGAACTGCCTCTGAAAAAGACAGGCTTTTCAATCACTGTTAAGGTAAATAATATAAACATACAGTTGTTTAGATAAAAGCCCAGGACAACCTGAGTGCAACTTCCACTGCTTTCCAAAAACAACTCATAACCAGTATTAGCAACCAGCGCAAGCAGTATCAAGGAAGGTCTCAATTCTGGTCAAAGAAAACTTAATGCAAAAAAAACAAACTTCGCTCTCCTGCAACAAGCCAGAGGGAGGGCACTCCATGTAACCTTCATAGATTTGTACAGTAACCACAAATACACGTAAGATCCAATGCCTAAAACGAGTGACTCGATTGACTGCCATTACTTGAACAGCAACTTGTACCTCCTAGATAATGGACACTGCAACTCGCACTCAAAATTGTGTGTGCAGTAAAGGCTACTCTATTTACATGCCCATTTGTCAATGCTAGCTAAACACAGCTGATCTTGAGCACACCTACCACTTTCTTTAAAGTGGTCTCATTGAAGAAGGGTCTAGAAATTTGGGATGTAAAAAAATATCTCTAAGGCCGTAAAGAAGTTTTACTACTTTGCTAAGCCAGATGCCAGGGGCAGCCCCCAAATGCTATCACTTGCACCTTCTCCAGTTAGGAACAGAACAAAGCCAAAAGCAAGAACAAGAGACAAACTTCTTGTCTGCTACTTTGGAAAACAGATTGAAGAAACAGTGAGTGTCTCATAAGAGACCAACCTAATGAAGTAAATTTCGACCTAATGAAGTAAATTTCAATGAGGAAAGGTTATCATACCACAGACCTGTTATTTTCTAGCTACATGGTAGGGGAAAGAACTAGAGCAGGGGCAAGATAACACATTCTTAATGTGGTGGTAAGCAAAAAATTTAATGATAATGAGAGGAAAAAAGAACCCTCCCCAGACTTACTGTTTTGCTGTTACAGACACATGACAGAATTATATACCTTTTTATGTGTTACCGCTGCACTCGCAGGCAGAGGTACATGCCCTGTCTCACAATACATCAGTTATCTCAGTATTTAGGTGACGTTAAACACATGCCATACACCTAGATGGGATGCTGTTACATCAAGGTAACCTGATGTAGTGGGTGGGTTGAGTTACACACCAAAGAATATCTTTAAAAAAATCACAGAACTTTATTCTTTTCAATCCTCCAGCTAACCATGCACCAGTGTGTTCCTCTTAAAAGATCATACTATATGACATATACTATGTTAACTGCACTTATAGAGCAATTTTATTTTGGTGTGGCTGTTGACTCTTTCCAGCCTTTTTTCCCCATAAGAGACAAATGTCATCAACACAGTTAGTAACAGGCAACAAAGACTGCACCAAGCTGCTGGTAGGTTTCAAAGCAAATGCTTTCTATTTGAAAGCAAAGTGAACAAAGTATTTGGACAGTGCTGAAACCCACCCGCACTGTCAGGTATTCGAGGTTCCATTATGGGTTGCAACTCGGGGGCTTTCTTTAGAAAGAAATAAACCTCTGCAACGCACGAAAGGCATCAGGGCAAGCTCTCGAAGCACAGAGGTACTTACTGACTGCCTGCTGTTCTCATCATCCTCTTCTTCATATCCGTCCTCATCACCATCCAGGCGGGTGAAGTCATCATCTCCGTACCCAACTGAGACCAGCCCTCCTTTCTCTCCTACGGAGAAAAAGTTAAACCATGAGGAATGAGCAGGCGGCAAGGGGCAACGACCGAGGCCTTCACTTTACAGCGGAATGGGGCGGGCCGGCGCCTTCCCCAGCCCCCTCCCCGCCCTCACCCGTAGCCGCTCCCCCATCGCTTCCCGCCGTCCCAGCCTCGCTGTCCGACTCCGGGTCCGAATCCTCAGCGTAAACCGCCAACGACGACAAGACGCTCCGCTTAGCCGCCGCCATCTTCCACCCCCTCCGAGGCCGTACTTCCGGCGGGCGGAGATGGCGCGCTCGCCGTAGCACCGCCGCCCTCCTTCCGCCTGAGGCGGCCTCATGTTCAGCTGGGGGAGCTCCGGCGTCCGCTCGCGGCGGGAGGCGCAAACCGGTGGGCGCGGCGGCGCGGGGCTGCGGTAGGGCAGGGAGAGGAGGGGGAAAGGTGAGCTCTGGCCCTTTAAGGAGTGGCTGACGTCATCGCACGGCGCCGCTACAGCAGCTGTCGGATCCTAATCAAGTGTGCGGGGTTGGGGCGCGGGTGGGGGTGTCTGGTTGTGAGGGGGCGCTGAGGGGGCGGAAGGATTCCCTTGGGAAAAGGAGGTGGGAGGCCAGCAAAGAGGAGGTGCTGTTCTCCGACACCAGCCCTCACCCCACCCCGTAGCTTCGGGTGCGGGCGGGTGTGGGGGGCCGTGAGGCCCCACCACCACTATGGCCCTGCAGCTGTACCTCATGGTACCTTGTGGGGGTGGTTGTCCCACAATAAACCATATTGGGGTTTCTTTCCTCCATTGGCGGGGCCTAGATGACATTCTTGGGAGAGGCCTCCAAAGCAGAGAGGAGCCTGGCAGGGCAAACGGGGGAAGTCACGCAAACGGCTGCAGATGGGGCAGGCTGTGGGCGGAGGAGGGTGGCAGTGCTGGGCTTTAGCTCTGGTTTCTGTCACCGTTCACAGCTTCTCCAGGATGAGTGGTGAGGCTCCCCCAGGCCTGGAAGGCAGGGTTCGAAAAGCACTGCAAAGAGTCTTCGGGTTTGAGTCCTTCAAGACTTCCCTGCAGGAAAGCGCAACTATGACTGTGGCGAGAGGTGAGGCCCAGCATCAGAAAGATGTGGAACATGTCTGCCTTTTCATCTTCTTGTGGGGGTGATCCTGCACGAGTTGGTATCGTGCTTGTTTTGAGGAGACACATCACCTGGACTGTGCAGGACCTCCAAGCGCTCCTCTGCTCTGAAATCATTTCAGTGGCACAGAGCACAAGCCTGTGCTGCCCATCAGCTCTCCAACCATGGCTCTGCGCTGCCTGTTTTCCCTTGCATTTGTAACACCACTAGTGCATCAACCCGGAAATGTGAAGTGCTAAAGTGCTATTGTTGACATTTCCTCTGGAGGCATCTACCAGCATGCTTGTGGTCAGATAAGGTTAAAACTGTTTAAATTTATAGGTCAAAACTATTTACATGTGCACATTTTCAGAGTCAACCTGTCCTTGTGTTAGAGATGACACCAGTAGAAAACTTTATTTCCTGGCAGAGTTTATGATTGTTCTCTGAATCGTGGCCTTTTGGCAAGGGACAGGACAAGGGAGAATGGTTTTAAACTGCCAGAGGGGAGATTGAGATGAGCGCTTAGGCAGAAGTTCTTCCCTGTGAGGGTGCTGAGGCCCTGCCACAGGGTGCCCAGAGAAGCTGTGGCTGCCCCATCCCTGGCAGTGCTGAAGGCCGGGTTGGATTGGGATTGGAGCAACCTGTTTGAGTGAAAGGTGTCCCTGTCCATGGCAGGGGGTTGGAGCTGGAGGAACTTTAAGGTCCCTTCCAACCCCAACTAGCCTGTGATTATCAGAAACATGATTTTGCTGGTGTTGATGTACCAACCTATGTACCTGTCCTGGGTTTAGCAGTAGCAGTCAATTCTTCTCCTTCTTGGTAAGCTGGTGCAGCATTGTGTTTTGACTTTCAGCCTGGGAACAGTGCCGATAACACCGATGTTTTTAGTTGTTGCTAAGTAAGGTTTACCCTGACCAAGGACTTTGTGAGGCTCATGCTCTGCTAGGGAGGAGGGGAAGCCGGGAGGAAGCAGAGACAGGACACCTGGCCCAAGCTAGCCAAAGAGGTATTCTATACCACAGCACGTCATGCCCGGGGTGAGGGGTAGCTGGGAGTTATCCGGAAGGACACGGGGTCTTCGGGGTCAGACTCATTTTTTGGCAGGTGGTATTGTGTTCTCTTCCCTTGTTATTTTCTCTTGTCACTGTTGGTGGTGGTGGTAGCGGTGGTGATTTGTGTTGTACATTGGTTGCTGGACTGTTCTTGTCCCAACCCGTGGGAGTTGCATTCTTTCAATTCTCCTCACCATACCTCCGGGAGTGGGGAAGGGGGGGGAGGGGGAAGGAAAGAAAGAGGGAGGAAAAGGGAGGGGAATGAGTGAACGAGCTATCTGGCTGGGTTTAAACCACGACAGTTCTTTTTGGTGCCCAACATGGGGCACGAAGGGTTGAGATAACAACAGATCTGTCCGGATTAATAGTCACTCATCACAATGCTGATTTATTGGCTCTCAAAGCTGTTCCTCTTGATCTCACAGTTTCAGTATATCATACCTTAGTTCGAGCCGGTATTTGCTATATTAGTGTTTTTCAAGTGTGGGGCTTGGGCTAAGGTTCTTGTCTCATTGTACTTTATGGTAATGACTTGTAATACAATAGAATCATTGATCGTGAAACTGATCTGGCTTATGTTCCCAGTGTGGTCACCACCTTTATACTTTGGGAAGTATATAATAGAAGTGCTTAGCAATTACACATCTTTTTTCTCCTTCTCACGTGGTCAGCCTGTGAAAGAGACATTCTTTTACCCTCTCAGTCCAGTTCTTTTTTTAAAAGAACTGTCGTGGTTTAAACCCAGCCAGCCAGCTCATTCACTCACTCCCCCCCGCTTTTCCTCCCTCTTTCTTTCCTTCCCCCCCCTTCCCCGCTCCTGTAGGTATGGGGAGGAGAATCGAAAGAATGCAACTCCCACGGGTTGAGACAAGAGCAGTCCAGCAACCAATGTACAACACAAATCACCACCGCTACCACCAATGACAACAATGACAAGAGAAAATAACAAGGGAAGAGAATATGATACCACCCACCGAAAAATGAGTCTGACCCCGAAAACCCCGTGTCCTTCTGGGTAACTCCCAGCTACCCCTCACCCCGGGCATGACGTGCTGTGGTATGGAATACCTCCCTGGCCAGCTTGGGTCAGGTGTCCTGTCTCTGCTTCCTCCCGGCTTCCCCTCCTCCCTAGCAGAGCATGAGCCTCACAAAGTCCTTGGTCAGGGTAAACCTTACTTAGCAACAACTAAAAACATCGGTGTTATCGGCACTGTTCCCAGGCTGAAAGTCAAAACACAACACTACACCAGCTACCAAGAAGGAGAAGAATTGACTGCTACTGCTAAACCCAGGACAATACCACTGCTGGTTGGACAGGCAGCTCATATGTGCCAACCCTGCTGCCAACCCTCAGCTCCCCTGACAGGTCCCACAGTGCAAATCAGAACAGTGTTAAACTCAGAACTCAGGATATACTTAGTTTTCATCTATTGCCAGCAGCTCTGCAGACATGCTGTTGACAGCAGCCTGCCCAAAAGTGGTGCTCTGTCAGCAGTGTGTCCCTGTCTATTAATGTTGCATGTGCTGGCATCTTTGTGATTTCAGGTGGATACTGCTTAGCACAGTGACAGTTACTAGCCACATTATATTATCTACATGGTTGAAATTTCCAGCCTTTATTTCCTTATGTGGTATGTTTCTGGGATAAGCTTTAAGAGGTTGTAGTAAAGATCTGTCATGGGACTGGTAATTAGATAACTGCAGGTCTGTAAGATGAGTCAAAGCAGCTCATCTGGAAGAGAATTAACATGAATAACTTGTTTAACTTCTCCTTATCTTGGTTTCTGTATATCTTCTGTTACTTTTCTAAGGCTGTTTCTAAATGTTTGCAAAGCAATCAGAGATTCTTTGAAGGAAACCATTGCAGGCATGCAAATTATTGCTGTGCTTTTAGAAAATTAAGTGAAATTAAATGTCTTTTTTTTTGGTATGGTACATGCATACATATGCTGTTTCTCAGATTAAAAGCCCTTCTGCCCACCCCTCCAGTCAGAGTCCTGGGAGCTCACCACCACTCAGTAGCCTTGAGCTTTCTTCTGTTTTCTTTGCAGGTGAGAAGGATGTCTTTGTATGCATGCCCACAGGGGCAGGGAAATCGTTGTGCTACCAACTTCCTGCAGTTCTGGCAGTGGGCATCACCATTGTCATTTCACCTCTGATTGCACTGATTCAGGTAACTGTCTCCTGTTAGCTGCAGAAAAATGTCAGTGAATGGGGTCGGGAGACTGGAGGCACAGCTACCTCTTGTCTTTCTGTCCACGAGTCTCTGCTATAGGCCTTCCTCCAGATTCTCTTGATGTCTTGAAATATCTCTTGATGTTTCCTTAGCCTGGTGATAGGTGAAGAGACTGCAACTTAGCTGCAGAGCAGAGTAACTCTGGTATGATAATATGCAATTTTCTAAATGGATGTTTCTCTTCTTTAATAATCTAGTAGTTTTTATAATTGAGGCTTTCTTCATTTTCTCCAGTTGTCTTTTACCTCTGCTGTGCTATACAGAAGCAGCAGAGTACCTCAAACTGACCAAACTGGATCTTTCCCCAGAACAGAACTGCCGTTTTACTTATAAAGTAAAAACTCCAGGAATGATGAAGTTGCCTTTGAAGGCACAATTTATTCTTCACCAAAATGTCTTTCTGTTGCAGACAGTCTTTCTATTGTGGGAAGAAGCTGGTTTAGCAGAGCTGCTCCTTGAGCACTCACATCTGTGGATCTTTTTTAACCTGTATTTTACCTTTTCTACTTTTTCATCACCTGTTGGGAGACACACTTCCCTATAATAGCAGCTGTAGCATTGCTTAGACTTCTGTAAAGCATCTGTTAGCATTGCATGATAACCTGGTGTGGTGGGCTGCTGGTCTGTGTTTTGTGGATTTTTTTTTTTAACTCCTTTGCAGTCTCAATGTGCATTAGCACATTAAAAGCAGGCTTAGAGATACATCTCAGAAGGTGTTATAAATAGTGAATTTCCTCCAAGTGTGAGGATTTCTGATTAAACTCTAGCACAGGCAATATTTTATTAGTGAAATGGAGGTTAAAATAATTGCTGTTGCTAAGATTTGCAGGTGAAGCCAAATGTGTCACAGTGATAAACAGGTTGAGATGAGCACAGTGAGTTATGGAACAGAGCTGGATGAACCTTCAGAGGTCTTCTCATCAAGATAGGGTGGCTATGCCTGAAATGATGATGATATATTTCAGTGTAGCCAGACTTCAAGAGCTTAGTCTGGGAAGTTCATGTTAGCCTGAGAGCTGACTTTGTGAACAGTGTATGTGAAATCGATCACTGAAACCAGTTATTGAGTGAAATAATAAGGTCCCTGTTTTTCAGGACTATTCATATGTTCTGAAATGTTATGTGCTGGTCAAGTGTGAGTAAACAGCTTAGTGTAGGGATGGGGAGGTGAATTTGTATGGCCAGTGTTTGGATGTGATGCCGTGTTTTCTTACTGGTTTTCCTGGCATGATTCTCATCAGCAAACTTGGTTCTGTTGCAGTGATTTGTGTGATCCTTGTATTTTGTCCTATCTCAGCTGTTTTTATGACATCCTGTTGTTACTTTGGTGTGAAATGCACTCTGTTATTGTAGGGTGGTCACATTCATTTTCCACCTCCGACAACTTGTTTGTACTGGTGGCTTGTTTCAGCATGCTTCGGGTTGTAATGAGTTATTTGCATAGATCCCTCCTGGTGTTCCCTAACAGCAAAAAGGCTGTCTTAAAGGGAATGGAGGCACAAAACTGCAGTTGGATGGATATGCTCACAGCTGCAGATAAAGGCATCTAGAGTTAAAGTTATAAATACCCAGACTGTAGGTGTATGTTGTCGTGAGACTTGATCCTGGAGGTGAAAGCTGGGACCTCACCTGGGTGATGGTCTTGTGCTGATGACTCTTTATTTCCATTTGCTTTTAAATTAATTTTCATTTTATATTTACTCTAGGATCAAGTGGATCACCTGCTGGCTCTGAAGATCAAAGCCTGCTCTCTGAACTCCAAGCTTTCTGCCCAGGAAAAGAAGACTATCCTGGCTGACTTAACAAGTGAGAAGCCTCAAGTAAAGCTCCTGTACATCACCCCAGAGATGGCAGCTGCCTCCTCCTTCCAACCTACACTGAACTCTCTGGTGTCCCGAAAGCTCTTGTCCTACTTGGTAATTGACGAAGCACACTGCGTTTCCCAGTGGGGACATAATTTCCGACCTGACTACCTCCGGCTGGGCACCTTGCGCACTCGCATACCCAATACGCCATGTGTTGCCTTGACAGCTACTGCCACCAAGCAGGTCCAGGAGGACATTGTGGCAGTGCTCAAGCTAAAGCAGCCACTTTCCACATTTAAGACCCCTTGCTTCAGATCTAACTTGTTCTATGATGTGCAGTTCAAAGAGCTCTTGACCGATCCGTACGCCAACTTGAAGGATTTCTGTCTGAAGGCACTTGAAGTGACAAACACCACTGGGGTAGGTTTTACATTTAAGGAAGAAGGCTAAACTGAAAAAATCTACCTTGATAGTCACTGACCTTGTTACGGCCCTGGCAGGTCTGTGGCAGGGGAGGAGGAGGTCCCTGGAAGGAGGGTGCCCATGTGTATGTTCTAGTTTCTCAAAAAGTGGTCACATATGGTTTTTAGTTCCTCTAAGATAACTAGAATGTGAAGGCTGCGTTCCTTTCAGAGGTGTCCTCAGAAAGGGGTTGCTTACAAGAAAGTAGATTAGGAATATGCAGCAAGCATTTGTCTTGATTTGTTGTGACCCAGGCAATTATTGTATGTTTGTGTTCTGCTCGTCTACTATGGTGAGTGTGCTGGGTTCAGCAGTAGCAGTCATTTTTCTCCTTCGTGATAGCTGGTGCAGTGTTGTGTTTTGGCTTCCAGCCTGGGAACAGTGCTGGTGATACCGATGTTTTCGGTTGTTGCTAAGTGGTGTTTACCCTGACCAAGGACTTTGTGAGGCTCATGCTCTGCCAGGGAGGGGGTAAGCCGGGAGGAAGCAGGGATGGGGCGCCTGGCCCGGGCTGGCCAGGGAGGTATTCCATACCACAGCATGTCATGCCCAGGGTGAGGGGTAGCTGGGAGTTACCTGGAAGGACACGGGCTTCTGGGTCGTACTTGTTTCTTGGCCGGTGGTATTGTATTCTCTTCCCTTGTTATTTTTTATTGTCATTGTTGTCGGTGGTGGTGATTTGTGTTGTACATTGGTTGCTGGACTGTTCTTGTCTCAACCCGTGGGAGCTGCACTCTTTTGATCCTCCTCCCTGTTCCTCTGGGAGCGGGGAAGGGAGAGCCCCAGGGCGGGGGGGGGGCTTGATTTCTCTCAGCCCAGCACCACTCACTGGGAGTGAGTGAACAAGCTGTCTGGCTAGGGTTTAAACCACGACAGTTCTTTTGGCACCCAATGTAGGGCTCAAGGGTTTGATATAACAACAGATCTGTCCAGATTAATAGTCACTCGTCACAATGCTGATTTATTGGCTCTCAAGGTTGTTCCTCTTGATCTCACAGTTTCAGTATATTGTATCTTACTTCCATCCGGTATTTGCTGTATTAGTGTTTTTCAAGTGTGGGGCTTGGGCTAAGGTTTTTGTCTCATTGTACTTTATGGTAATGACTTGTAATACAATAGAATCATTGATCATGAAACTGATCTGGCTTATGTTCCCAGTGTGGTCACCACCTTTATACTTTGGGAGGTATGTAATAGAAGTGCTTAGCAATTACACATCTTTTTTCTCCTTCTCAGGTGCTCAACCTGTGAAGGAGACACCCTTTTACCCTCCCAGTCCTCCCCCCAGACCATTTACATTTGAGAGTTTTGAAGTTTTTGAATGGCCTTTTAATGCTGTTGAGACTTGTTTGCTGATCGTGATGGGGATCACCATGCTAGCAAGCATACAGAGTGTGTTTTGCCCACGGCTGATTTCAAGAATTAAGCAGAGTCAGGTTTGGGTCTTGTCTGGGGTCAAACATCAATGTCAGGTTTGGGTCTTGTCTGGGGTCAAACGTCAATGTAGGAGGACCAAGAGATTTTCCCTGAGGCTGGACAGTCATGAGTGGCAGGGTGTGTGGGATAGTATGGGCAAGTATCTAGGTCAGTGGGCCCCTCCAGTACTTTGGAATTTCACCACCGAACAACTGCAAAATCCAGAAGAATTAGTAAAACACTTAAATGAGGTGTGTGGTCATTCTGGCCATACCAGAGATGGACAAATCATGGCAACGTGCTGGGGCTTGGCCTATGCTTACAGGGCCTTGTTCAACACTATCCAGCACCTTCAAAAGGAAAAGAATGTCAGTGGATCTGAGGGCAAAGCAACAGTCAGCGCAGCTACTCCAGCTCCAAGCACAGCAGCTTCACCACCCCCAGTGACAAGTACAGTCGCTACTCAAACTTTGGCTGCAATGAACAGCACAGCTACCCCAGTGGCAAGTGCAGCAGCTGCTCAAACTTTGACTGCAACAGACAGTGCAGTTACCCCAGCTCCAAGCACAGCAGCTACAACACCCCCAGCAACAAGTACAGTCGCTACTCAAACCACAGTGATAAGCACTGCAGCCAAACCAGAGGACCAATTCGTACCAATATCGGTTACCCCTGTACGCAAGAGAAAAAGCGAAAAAGAGGCAAGAAGGGTGAAGCGAGATGAAAAAACAATGTGTTCACCACCAGGTCTAGCATCTGATCAGGAGTCATCATCACATGATGAAGAAGAAGAGGTAACTTCTCGACCTCGAACCTCAACCAAGCTACGAAATATGCAAAAAGATTTTACCCGTCACCAGGGGAGCACATCATCACCTGGTTACTCTGATGCTGGGACAATGGGGTCAATGGTCACGAACTAGAAGATACAGAAGCCAAGCAGCTGGGATCACTTGCTAGAGAAGGGGGAATTGACACAGCAATTGCAAGAGAGAAAAAGTCCCTCAGTCTTTGGAGGAGGCTCTTGGCAGCTGTGAAAGAAAGGTTTCCATACAAGGACGATGAGTTGTTCGGCCAAGTGGACTACTATCGACAAAAGCATCCAGTCTCTGAGGGAATCAGCCATCGTAGAAATGATCTATCACATCAAGCCAAATAACAGGGCTACACCCATAGATCCAGATGAAGTTGAATGTACACGACCCATGTGGCTAAAACTTACACGGAATGCACCGTCATCATATGCCCATTCATTGGCAACAGTGACCTGGAATGACATAGTACCAGTAACAGTGGATGAAATGGTTCATAAACTCCGAGAGTTCGAAAACAATCTCACCCTTCCATCATCTCAGCTGTGGAAAAACTGTCCCAGGACCTCAAACAATTGAGGGACGATGTATCTGATTTATCCAGCTCCTCACGTGTACCAACACACGTCTCAGCTATTAACAAAAAGCGTCCTATTGTTCAAGAGAGGAGATACAGGAGGTATACGCCACGGGGTACCCTATGGTTTTACCTGCTGGATCACGGAGAAGACATGACAAAGTGGGATGGAAAACCTACTTCAGCTTTGGAGGAACGGGTGAGTGAATTGAAGAGGGAATCAAGGGCCAAGACTGATCGTCCCATGAGAGCTACGGCTTCAGTCTCTGGTGAGCAGTTTCCCAGATGGAGTGGAAGAGCTGATTTTACTCCAGCTCCTGTAATAACAAAGAATAATCCCTTTCACCACGACTTAAGTGTCCAATGCTGTGAGGGGGGGGTAGGGGACAATTGGATTTACTGGACTGTGTGGATCAGATGGCCTGGCACATCAGTCCTACAGAAGTATAAGGCTCTAGTAGATACCAGTGCACAGTGTACCCTGATGCCATCAAGCTGTCAAGGGGTGGAACCCATCTATATTTCTGGAGTGATAGGAGGATCCCAAGAGTTGACTGTGCTGGAGGCTGAAATCAGCCTGACTGGGAGGGAATGGCAAAAGAACCCTATTGTGACTGGTCCAGAGGCTCCATGCATCCTCGGCATAGACTACCTCAAGAGGGGGTACTTCAAAGACCCAAAAGGGTACCAATGGGCTTTTGGTATTGCTGCTTTGGAGACTGAGGAAATTGAGCAGCTGTCCACCTTGCCTGGTCTCTCAGAGGATCCTTCTGTTGTGGGGTTGCTGAAAGTCAAAGAACAACAAGTGCCAATTGCGACCACAGCAGTGCACCGGCGGCAATATCGCACCAACCGAGACTCCCTGATTCCCATCCATCAGCTGATCCGTAGACTGGAGAGTCGGGGGGTGATCAGCAGGACCCGCTCGCCCTTTAATAGCCCCATATGGCCAGTGCAAAAGTCTAATGGAGAATGGAGACTAACAATAGACTATCATCGCCTGAATGAAGTCACACCACCGTTGAGTGCTGCTGTACCGGACATGCTAGAACTTCAGTATGAACTAGAGTCAAAGGCAGCCAAGTGGTATGCCACGATTGATATTGCCAATGCATTTTTCTCAATTCCTTTGGCAGCAGAGTGCAGGCCACAGTTTGCTTTTACTTGGAGGGATGTCCAGTTCACTTGGAACCGACTGCCCCAGGGGTGAAAACACAGCCCTACCATTTGCCATGGACTGATCCAGACTGCACTGGAACGGGGGCAAGCTCCAGAACACCTGCAAGACACTGATGACATTATTGTGTAGGGCAATACAGCAGAAGAAGTCTTTGAGAAAGGGAGGAAAATAATCCAAATCCTGCTGAAAGCCAATTTTGCCATAAAACAGAGTAAGGTCAAGGGACCTGCACAGGAGATTCAGTTTTGGGGTATAAAGTGGCAAGATGGATGTAGACAGATCCCCACAGATGTCATCAACAAGATAACAGCAGTGTCTCCACCAACTAATAAGAAAGAAACGCAAGCTTTCTTGGGTGCTGTGGGGTTCTGGAGAATGCACATCCCAAATTACAGTTCGATTGTAAGCCCTCTCTATCATGTGACCCGGAAGAAGAATGATTTTAAATGGGGCCCTGAGCAACAACAAGCCTTTGAGCAAGTTAAACACGAGATAGTTCATGCAGTAGCCCTTGGACCAGTCCGGACCGGGCCAGATGTAAAAAATGTACTGTACACTGCAGCTGGAGAGAATGGTCCTACCTGGAGCCTCTGGCAGAAAGCTCAGGGGAGACTCAAGGTCGACACCTTGGGTTTTGGAGTCGGGAATACAAAGGATCTGAGGCCAGCTATACCCCAACTGAGAAAGAGATACTGGCAGCCTATGAAGGGGTTCGAGCTGCTTCGGAAGTGATTGGCACTGAAGCACAGCTCCTCCTGGTACCCCGGTTGCCCGTGCTGGGCTGGATGTTCAAAGGCAGGGTCTCCTCTACACATCATGCAACTGATGCTACATGGAGTAAATGGGCTGCACTAATTACACAACGAACTCCAATAGGAAATCTCAGTCATCCAGGCATTCTAGAAGTCATCATGGGCTGGCCAGAGGGCAAAGATTTCGGAATGTCACCAAAGGAGGAGGTGGTGCGTGCTGAAGAGGCCCCACCATATAATAAACTGCCAGAAAGTGAAAAGCAGTATGCCTTGTTTACTGATGGGTCCTGCCGTATTGTGGGAAAGCATCGGAGATGGAAGGCAGCTGTATGGAGTCCTGGACGACAAGTTGCAGAAACTGCTGAAGGAGAGGGTGAATCAAGTCAGTTTGCTGAGGTGAAAGCCATCCAGCTGGCCCTGGACATTGCTGAACGAGAACAGTGAGCGGTACTTTATTTCTAAGCTGACTCATGGATGGTGGCAAATGCCCTGTGGGGGTGGTTGAAGCAATGGAAGCAGAGCAACTGGCAACGCAGAAGTAAACCCATCTGGGCTGCTGCACTGTGGAAAGATATCGCTGCCCGGGTGCAGAACCTGGTGGTGAAGGTACGTCATGTAGATGCCCATGTACCCAAGAGTCAGGCCACTGAGGAACGCCAGAACAACCAACAAGTGGATAAAGTGGCTAAGATTGAAGCGGCTCAGATGGACTTAGATTGGCAACATAAAGGTGAATTATTTTTGGCCTGGTGGGCCCATGACACTTCAGGCCATCAGGGCAGAGATGCAACATACAGATGGGCCAGTGATCGAGGGGTGGACATAACAATGGACACTATTGGCCAGGTTATTCATGAGTGTGAAACATGCTGCGATTAAACAAGCCAAGCGGTTAAAGCCTCTTTGGTATGGAGGACGATGGTTGAAGTATAAATATGGGGAAGCCTGGCAGATTGACTATATCACACTGCCGGACAGCCCGCCAAGGCAAGCGCCATGTGCTTCCCATGGTGGAAGCAACCACCGGGTGGCTGGAAACATACGCTGTGCCCCATGCCACTGCCCGGAACACTATCCTGGGCCTTGAGAAACAGATTTTGTGCGACACGGCCCCCAGAGAGAATTGAGTCAGACAACGGGACTCATTTCCGGAATAACCTTATAGATATTTGGGCCAAAGAGCATGGCATTGAGTGGGTATATCACATCCCCTACCATGCACCAGCCTCTGGGAAAATCGAACGGTACAATGGGCTGTTAAAAACTACACTGAGAGCAATGGGTGGGGGAACTTTCAAACATTGGGATACACACTTACCAAAGGCCACCTGGTTGGTCAACACCAGAGGATCTGCCAACAGGGCTAGCTCAGCCCAGTCAGAACTTTTACATATTGTAGAGGGGGACAAAGTTCCCGTGGTGCATATAAAGAATTTGCTGGGGAAGACAGTCTGGGTTATTCCTGCTTCAGGTAAAGGCAAACCCACTCGTGGGATTGCTTTTGCTCAGGAGCCTGGATATACTTGGTGGGTAATGCGGGAAGATGGGGAAGTCCAATGTATACCTCAAGGGGATTTGATTTTAGGGGAAAACAGCCAATGAACTTAATTGTATGCTGTTGCCTGCTGTGTAATACTTTTATAGCCCATCAACTAGATGTCCCCAGGTCACCAGGGACTAGCCCTGACTTCCCTCCAACCATCATCCCAACAGAGAATGAACTTTGATAGAACCTGATGAGTTCTGCAGTAAAGGAACGACCAGCATCAGCAGGCAACGATCCAATACTGCACACAGCCTTTCCTGCCCTGAAAGATTGTTACAAGAGATGGAACCTGACATCATGGACCGAATGGACTTGGCAGCATTATAGGGATTGGTCCATGCACTAAGAAAATGATCTCTTTCTCTTGGTCTGTGTTTATATGGATGTATATATATGGGAGAGCGATGGTGTATTGAAAATGTGGGATCTGAGCATGACGTGAATGGCATGGAATAAGGGGTGGATAATGTCCTGGGTTCAGCAGTAGCAGCCATGTTTCTGCTTCGTGGTAGCTGGTGCAGTGTTGTGTTTTGGCTTCCAGCCTGGGAACAGTGCTGGTGATACCGATGTTTTCAGTTGTTGCTCAGTTATGTTTACCCTGACCAAGGACTTTGTGAGGCTCATGCTCTGCCAGGGAGGGGGGGAAGCCAGGAGGAAGCCAGGACAGGGCGCCTGGCCCAGGCTGGCCAGGGAGGTATTCCATACCACAGCACGTCATGCCCGGGGTGAGGGGTAGCTGGGAGTTACCCGAAAGGACACGGGCTTCTGGGTCGTACTCGTTTGTTGGCTGGTGGTATTGTATTCTCTTCCCTTGTTATTTTTTCTCTTATCATTGTTGGTGATGGTGGTAGCGGTGGTGATTTGTGTTGTACATTGGTTGCTGGACTGTTCTTGTCTCAACCCGTGGGAGTTGCACTCTTTCGATCCTCCTCCCTGTTCCTCTGGGAGCAGGGAAGGGGAGAGCCCCGGGGTGGGGGGGGGCTCGATTTCTCTCAGCCCGGCACCACTCACTGGGAGTGAGTGAACAAGCTGTCTGGCTAGGGTTTAAACCACAACAGTGAGGATGAACAGGAGCATTTGAATGTCGTGTTGAATTTCCTGCTCTGACATTAATTCCCAAAATAACTCTCAGCTATTCGGTTGTAGCCTCTGCACCTGTGTTTATTTGGACAGCAGAGGGAGACTGCTTCTTACCTTGTGTCTACTGGGAGAGGATTGAGGGAGCAGATTTGGTTGATGTTGGGACTTGTAGGACTTGTAAGGAAACTGTCTTTCTCTTTGATATACTTTTGTGCTGACATAGTATTTTCAGTTGCCAGGGAATCAGCTTGTAAAGAGATGAGCTTTGGACATTCCTCCTGTCTCTGCCATCCTAATACTGCAGCTTTGTTGATTGGCTTCAGGCTGTGTGGACTTTCTCTCCTGTCTGCCCAGGTGTACTCCGGTTGTGGCATTGTGTACTGCAGGATGCGGGATATGTGTGACCAGCTGGCTACTGAGCTGAGCTACCGAGGAGTGAAAGCCAAGGCTTATCATGCAGGTACAGGAAGCTGCATCTGCGTCTCTCAATAGGTGGTAGAACTGTACAATCCTTAAGGCCTGGGTTGGGGCTATCTAGGAAGCAGTTTTCTAGGCATGGTCTGCAATGTGTCTGATGCTCATGTAAGATAAGTTTGGGGTCTTCCACAGGACAGCATTCCTTTCACTCCAGAGCTGTTGGTTTTGTTGGATCTTGCACAGCCTAAATATAATAATTGCTTTTATCCCAGGAAGGAATTGGATTTTTCTCTTTGGAATCGAAACAGCTGCTGCTGTCTCAGTCAGGGGTTGGCTTGGAACGGGGGAATGGAGAAGGAATTTAATTTCTTTCTTTCCCTGTTGTTTTCTTCCCTTTTTTTTTCCTTCCCAGGACTCAAGGCAGCTGACAGGACTTTAATCCAGAATGAGTGGATGGAGGAGAAGATCCCTGTAATTGTTGCAACCATCAGTTTTGGAATGGGAGTAGACAAAGCCAACGTCAGGTATGTGAGGCTGAGTGTTGTGCCCTGCCGGAGTCTGAAACCTGAGCAGTGAGAAGGGAAAGCCTCAGTCTCTCTGTTACCTGATACATGCGATTCAAATGCCCGATGAACACTTGCTAAATCCACAGGAACAGAGCTGGATGGTTTTTATCTTAGAACCAGTAAAAACAAACCTGGAAGGGTTCTATAAAGAAATGAAGAACAAGCCAACAGAGCTCCTCTGTGCCAGTCATCTTCCGAACCAAGAAAACTGGAGGAATTTTTTTTTTTTTTTGCCATACCCTCCAGGGTTTCAAGAGAAGACATCTTGAGGCAGTCACAGCTGTCCCTTTCACTTCTCTTAGTGCAGTAGTTGCTGTTAAAAAGCAGTGGGAAGAATATGAGCACCTGAAATAATTCATACACCCTCTATTGAAATGATCAGAGCCAACTCTTTTTTAGACATCTCCTTTTGCAGTGCAATGGGGGGAAGAATAAAGCAGTTCACAAATGGCAATAACCGTATCAAAATACAGCTCTAGTCCAAGGATAAAACTTTGCACATGGTTTCAACAGCTGTTCCTCTGGGACTTCTGTCACCATAATCGCTCTGTGTTGCTAGAATTCCTCTACTGCACTATGGCTGTGCTGAGTTGGCATTGTGATCTGTGATCACTTAGCAGAGGGTAATTCAGGTGCAGCTCACTCAATGCCCCACACAGACCTGATCTTTACTCTGAAATCCACATAAAGTGATTGCTCTGAATGCTGTGAGAGAGGGGCAGGACAGCAGTGAGACAGTCGCAGCAGTTCAAAATTGTGCCATCCTTCTGTGTCCCTGTGTTGCCAGGCAACAAGATCGCATAGCAGTGACAGACTTTTGCTGCTTGATGCGTGTGACCCAAGAGAGAAATGAGAAGTTTACTAGGACAGTAGCATGAATTAATGACCCGGTGAAGCCACCTTGCCCTGTTCAGGAGAGTGGCTGTTAGAAAAAGCAGAGTAACTGAAATACATAGGGCTGGTTGAGAGTGAAATGTAGCTGAAACATGCTTATAATCTGGTTAGTTGCCAAGGAATGCAATTAAAATGCCTTTTTACAGGATGTTTTTTTAATAGTTTAAAGGATATTATACCTGAGCCTAGGCAACAAGCAACTGCTGCTTAGCCTTCTGTTGGCAGAGTTCTGAGCAATCATACATATATCAACTAAGATCAGGTCTGACAACTTCTGGAGGTGACTTTTCCGCACAAAAGGGAAAATGGGTGGTGTCTCTTTTTGTGATGGAATCAGCTCCTTTCTGTTAATTCAGTTTTGCTTGAGATTATCAATTGCTTCAGTAAACTTTCTGATGGGGATTAAATGTGTAGGGCTCTGATGCTCCTTGCCTGGCCTGTTCTGGAGTGTTTGTGTTTCTTCAAACATGTTTGCCTGCTTTTGTCCTTTACTCTTTTGCCACACCTTTTTGTGTCATACCTGCCCCTGGGACATGCTGGATTGGAGGCAGGCTGGGATTTAAAACATTGGCAGCATTACTGTCCTGTGAAATGCTGTCAGTGCAGGTGTAAGCTGAATTGCCAAATAGTCAGGTACAAGGAGGTTTAAAGAAGTGGTGTGTTGAAAACAGTCAGAGATTATATGAAGTTTAGCAATGATTCTATACTTGTATTATCTGGCTAGGAAGGAAGGAAGGATGCCTTCATCTACAAGTCAGCTTGGTAAGACAGACTTTCCCATGCAGGAAAAATGTCTTTAAAATCGATTATTTCGAAAGGTGTTCTGCAATGTTCAAATTGTGTTCCACAAAATAAATAGGACTTTTTTATTAATGCTGTACTTCATGGTAAAATCTCCCAAACTCTGTAATTCAGTGTCCTTATTCTCAGTCTTCATAGCTGTACAATTCTATGCATGTTTGGGATATTCACATGCTCATCCTTTTCCATCCATTTAAAGTAACACCCTGCTCACATGCTGTTCTGGTGTGTTGTTTTTCTTATAGCCCAGCTGTTTTCCTTGTGTCTCATGTTAAGAGGACTTACATTTCTGTGTGCAAAATCCCTTGCTCTGCTAAACCCTGTCTTTTATGCTTTTGCTGCCCTATATTTTACTGTTGTTGATGTCCACAAATAACACCATTGTATAGGAAGTGATCTGAGAAACCTGCAGCCTTATGTTTCCTGTTGCCTTATCCCATGCAGATTTGTTGCCCATTGGAATATTGCTAAGTCAATGGCTGGATATTACCAAGAGTCTGGCAGAGCTGGGAGAGATGGGAAGCCATCCTGCTGTCGCCTATATTACTCAAGGCATGAGAGGGATCAAGTCAGCTTTCTGATTAAGAAGGAGCTCTCTAACATCCAGGTAAGATCTGCAGAAGAGTACCCACCTGCCTAGATATGCTGCTGCCTTTGCTCTGATCTGGTTTGCCTGCAGAATGTGCAAAGATGAAGTGAGTTTTTCTGGGTCTTGAGCTGTCAGTAGCCCTGTTTCAAGGGACAGTACTGAGGAATGAAACAGAAAGGGAAAGGGCTACAGCTTCAGCTCTGTTAGAGAGGCATGGGTGAGCATAAGACTGGAGCAGAGGCAGGATGGTGTCTATACGTGTTTGCTGGATTGATGAGAAGGGTTGGATTTAGTTGTCACTAGAGTTCCTTTATCTGTTTATATTTAAATTTAAGACTATTGTTATTGCCCCCTTCTGCTTTCAGGAAAAAGAAGGCACCTTAAAAGAATCTGACAAAGCTGTGATGACAGCTTTTGATGCCATTGTGAACTTCTGTGAGGAACTGGGGTGAGTGCAATTCTTTCAAATACTGTTTAGTGTTGGGGAAACCATGCTCTGTCCCTTCCAGGGCACTGTTATTCCTGAGATCTTGCACGTCCAGGAAAAAAAATACTGAATGAATTGCCTGGTATTTTGCTGTCTGAACTGAGGAAGGTGTCCCTGAGACATCTCTCTCTCACTCCCACCTCTCAGATAACTGGTAGGTTGGTCTTGGAGCCTGACCAAGTGACGTGGTGATGTTAAAATGTAATTCTTCTGGCTATGAATTTTACTATGTTCTGTCTTTGATGATGGGCTGACTTAGTTGCATTTGCTTTTGTTTTGACTCTTTCCTTCTTCACTACATTATCTCTCTTCTAAAGAGATAGGCAGCCTAATCAGCATGGGATGGAAGCATTTAGATTTAATATTTCTCTAAACCTCAGTGGCTCCATTCTGCAAAGAATGAGGTATCTATGATTCTTATTGACCTTAGAAGGAGCCAGTGGTGCCTAGAATGTTTCAGAAACAGGCCCAAATTATGGATGTCCCCAGTCTAAATGCAGAGTAGCAACAGCAATGTGAATTGTTTAGGTTCTGACTTGTAAACTGTAATTGTACTAATTGCTATTCCATGCTGGATAAGACATCAAGGCTATAATTTTGCCAGTAAGAGAGCAGTCTGTGTTCACTAGCTGAAAACAGTCAACATGTGTCTTGCTTTCAAGTCTGCATTTTGTTTCATTTTTCACACCTGTGTCTGGGACAACTTTTTCAGTGTGATTGTGACATGTGATGCTTTTCTGATGCCCTGGTTAGCATGTGCTCTCCTTGTGGTCGTGCTTGGTAACAAATCCTGTTTTATGGGGCTGCTCCAAGAAAGTGTTGCTTGTACTAAAGTATGGCACAATTCTGAGTCCTGGAGTATTTGAAGGAGCTTTTCTCTGCCCAAAGTCAAGGTGATTCTGAGAAGTAGCTACTGGGAGTTGTCTTGCTGTTTAGTTTGATCTACTTACTTTAAGCAGCTCTGCTCCTTCTGGTGCGTGTTACTAGCTAACAGTAAGAGTGGCCAGGTGGCTGTTTGTGTCTGGGATTTGTATAGTCTGAGGGGCAGCTGTATCGATCTGGTTAGATGTTAACCTCAGGAAGCCTTGTCTTGGTATCTATTTCTCCTGGATTCCTAAGCTGTTTATAACAGTAGAGTTAGCCAGGACAGTCACTTCCTGGAATGGACGCTAGTGCCATAAGAACTGGACTGGGATCACTGAACTAACCTTGCACAAACCAGAAGCAGGGGTTTCAGGACATTCCAGGGTGATGCCCCAGGGAGGGCATGAGTTGGGCTCCATGTTACTGTCTTATTACATCTCCTACTTCATGCACGTTGTAAAGAGCCTGACTGCTGTCTCAAGTGAGGACTTTCTCTAGAGTTGCGCATCAGCAATGAGGCAGTAACTAGGCAAGGACAGAAAGAAAACATTCTCCTTTGCTCAGATGAATAGTAACAGATACAGGATTTCATTGGGTATGTAAGAGAGGTTTCTGTAGCAGAGTATCTCTGCCCTAATTAGAAATTACCTCTTCCATACTTTTTCTTCCCTCCCCCACCCTGGTACATTCTTCCTACTTTATAACATGCTGTATACGTATCCCAGAGTAACATATTGCAGCACCACTCACTGGCTTCCCTCTTTGTAACTACAGGAGACTAAGATTCTATGTAAAGGAACAGTATGTTGCATTTATTTTTTACATTTTCAATTAATACAGTTCTATTCACGTTTGCTTTCACTGTTTGGATAGTGAAACTGACCTTGCAAGGTTCTAAATAGGAACAAATAAAGACAGACTTGCATGTTGGCAAGGATTTTTGCATAGTATATTTAGGCATTTGTCCAAGTATGACAGGAGAGCAATGGTATAAGCTGTTCTGGGGAGTGTGTTTGAGCAAAGCTTTCGCTGGTCAGAGTTTCTTGTTCCCCATTTGCAAGGTGGAAAAAAAACCCTGTAACTGCATCAGTGGAAGACATCTTTATTAGTTTTAGGAGGTAGCTGACCATTTGCCTGTGACCAATGGTTTTGCTTGAAAGATGAAAATCAGGCAGATGTGAGCTGACTTTGGTATTTGTCTAGTCACACAGTTTCTGAATGCAGATAGCAGATAGGTGTTGAGTTTGTTGTAGACTTGCAGAGCAGCTTGCTGGTGGTGGTGCCTTCTCTTGATTCAGGGAAGTTGCATGGGGAGAAATAACCATCCAGGGAGAGAAGAGGGTATGAGAGAAGATGATTTTCTATGAACAACACAATTATAGGTTGTAGCTGGGCTGATTCTTGCTTAGCGTAGGGCTCCAAGTACAGTGTCTGAGTTTTGCTATTTATACCCCACTTTGTGCCTTGGGGATGAGCAGCAGCCAAAGATGGCAGCAAATAAAAGGAGACCAACAAAAACAAGACAAAAGGTGCCAATCACCACTAGCCCTCCAAGAGCCCAATCACTTGTTTCAATCAGTCTCTTTAGGTCTTCCAGAGCTGAGGATGCCTCTTGTACTGAAGACATGTTGGCTTCCACCCTGCTAGAGATAAACAAAGACATCAGCTGTTGGTGTCCTCTCTGTGCTCTGAGCCCCAGTCCCCAAAGCAGTATAGGCATTCATGTTCTCTGTGCCTGCAACACCCTTTACCCAAAAGGGAGAGTTACAGCAATGGGAGCATAAGCCAGAAGAAAGGTAGGTAAGACCAGTTTCACAATCAGATCTACAGAGATGTAAAGAGGAAAGGTTCTGGCTTTACAACTCTACAGCCTATACATGAAAACCAAGTATTCTTTGCTGCCATTGGAAGTATCTCTAAAAGGGAGATAAACTCTGAAAACACACTGGAGATTATTAATTTAGTTTACTTGAAACCGACCAACCAAAAAAACCTGCAAAAAAATAAGTAAAGTTCTTCATGTCCATCTCGTGCTGCCATGGGGCTTAGAGTAGTTGTGTAAAAAGATCTCCTGCTAAGGGAGTTTCCTTTAGTAACACTTTCTGTTACTCTACCATAGAAGCATATTTTCCTCCCGTGCAGTACTTGGGTCCAGCAATTATTCAAAGTGGGATCTCAGTGAGTTCTACAGATTTACTCTTTCACTGGTACTTTGCATAATGGCTTGGTGATAGCTTTCTAAAGAATATCCAGCATCTCTCTGCAAGCATCTTGTGGTTTTACTAAAGCTTCCTTGCTTCTCAAGGGAAAAGATGGATTATTCCTCAAACTTTCTCAGAAATATGACTGTGCAGTCCTAATACATTAAGGGAGGTCCATTATTTTTGAAAATTTGTTTGACTTGCTTCCCATTATGTCTGGATCCTTAATACTATAAGGAAAGTGTGTTTCATCCTTGCCAAATACATTTGACGAGGAGCACACTTCAGTATGCTGAAGCTTTTGTTTCCTTCTTAGCAGCCAAATATATTCAGTTCATGTGTTGTTTTCTGGAATGATGGCAAATCACCATGCCAGGCTCTAACCAACAGGCATATGGGACATGAAGGTGGTTCTGGATAGCTTACTTTGCATTTAAAAAGGAGACAGTCTAGATACTAGTTATGTAGACCCAAAGGCAGAAGCCCAGTGTGACTGTTCACCCTAGAAAGTTCTCATCTCTTTTGCTAACCACAGTTAAATCTTCTGAAACAGGACAGCTGTATGCAAGTTTATAAATACCTGAAGCTGTTATGTTTGTAGCAGGTGTTTCTTCTGGTTCTCTGCATTCCCTCCAAGAGATCTTGGCCTGTGGGGAAGAACTCCCTTACTGCACCTGGAGATTGCAGAGCCAGCATGGAAGGTGCCTGTTTGTACTACAGTCAATGATTAACAGCTGACTTCCCTGCAAAGGTGTGGCTAATCTGGTCAAAGGCATTGAGCCTACTTGAAAAGAGGTTCTTTCTTCCCCATGGCTTTATCTACTTGTACACCTCTTCCAGTGGTTGTAAAGGCTCATGATGCCCTCTGACTGGGGAAGGATGCAGTGGAGAGAAGAGGCTTTTGTTGGATCCTGAGTGGATCTGTATTGTAAGCTCTGTTAGGAGACCACCATATTTAAAATGACTGTGAACAAGACTGCCCTCCAGTCCAAAACTCAGTGTGAGAGTTTGGGTGGATAAACTCATTCCAGAGCCTTGCACTGCCATTAGCTTCAATAAAACTGTGTCCCTGTTGCTTTCCTAACTGAAGAAGACCAGAAGGATGGTGCTGGAGAGGGATGGGAGGCGAGGAGGAGGAGGACAATGTGGTGTGTGAGGTTGTGTGTGTGTAAAAGGAAACTGTTTTTCACAAGCCAAGCAAATCACTTTGAAAGGAAGGGATGATGTTATAGAATAGAAGCTATTCCGTCAAGTCATCAGTGGAACTTCAGCTACCTCTGCTGCAGAGGCTGGCTTCTTGTCTCTTTTAGGTTTTTCAGGGAATTATTTCAACACTTGTGTCATCATGGCTGAAGTGACTGTATTCCCTTGCAGTTCCTTCTAGGGTCACTCAGGCTTTCACAACATGTACAGAAGTTGCTGTATTTGAAACAGTCTCACCTTAGTCTTGTGCTTTTCTGGATCTCCCTCTGCTTTTTGAAACTGAGAGGATGGATCTATCCTCACTAGTGCTCACTAGAGCATTCCAGGTCCCCTTATGTGGGTAATGATTGAAACCAAACCCACAAAAGCTGGTGTGAGTGGTGAGCAGGGACCCAGAGGCTGACATGTTGCTTGTCAACAGAAACTGAAGAACTGTAGTTAGCTGGGATTTGCTGGGCATCTTTCAGGCCAAACTGATCTGTTGCATGCAGGAAGGCGGCAGAGCCCACCCAGGCCAGCAGTGGGCATAACTAAACACTAAGTGTACGAATAGTCCAGCTGCGAGCAACTGTACAAAATGGTAGGAAGCAGAACATTAGGCTTGTGAGGTCTAGGCAAGTATGTAGAAATCAGTCCAGGGATTCTCCTGTATGTAGTGACTGCTCCTCTGCTCCAGAAAGCCACATGAGTTCT